TTTCTTCACTGTAGAAACACTGAAATTACTAACTTTTGAACAGTAATGTGCAATATTGTTCGGGCGCTAAAATGAGAAGCGTGAGTATTGGCGATCGCGCGCAATGCATGCTCACAGAGAAAGCATAGCGACAATTTCCTACACCGTGGATTATACAATATATTCTCGGTTGGTAAGCAAACAGTTCCGCAATATTTTCACCTGGTATGCGACACGAAGTGGAGTACTGCAGTATTTTAGTTAGGTCGGGCTGCGCTTTGAACCGTTGCCAGCAACGTTTTCCTCTTTGTCAATCTAGTTTTCCTTCTCTGTTGCTCCAATCTTCCGTAACCGCGTCTTTGTCTTCGTCTTCGTCTTCTTATCTCCTATAGATATTCTAGGTCAAGTGTGTATTTTAATGGTCAGCAACGACGTTGACGGAGATTTTTTGAGTCACACGAGGACTCGTCGGATCGATCGAACTGAAACCGTGTCGGTGAGTATTGATCTACCGATCGTTGCGACTCCGGTCTCTCAAAAACATTTACACGAATACGAATGTTTTGCGATGTTTCGGGCAAGCGAGGAAGAAGTTTTTGTAAAACAACAAATAAGGGGCCAATTTTATCGGTATCGTATTCAGAATCTTAAAAAGTTACTTTCTTCTCCACGGGAAGAACAAACAATACGGCGATTTTATCGTCATTGTTTCACTCCCCGTCTCCCCTTATTGTTAGACTCACCTAACTCGCGTGAGTGAAGAAAATATGATGGGAGTAGATCAGTTCTCCATGCGGCGATTCGATTAGTACGGCATTCGGATGCGGCGACGATGTCTGTTGACGTTCTCTCAGTGAATATCATCTCGCTCACCCTGAAACAGAACTTCCCAAAGAATCTGCACACGGAGGGTACTGTCCTCAGTACATATACATATACGTTGCATAATTCAGCATCGTTACGGAATCCTCGTCGGCGCCTCTATTTTTGCACGGAGGCTATCGTGCTGGCGTCCAGCCGTTTTACGATTAATTACTGGAACCGTTGCGCCGCTTGTGGCTCCTCATCGACGACTCTAGACATCTAGATTTAACCGTCTCTTTGAACACGACTGAACTTAATAACGGATGCTTATCGGCGTTCTTAAGACCACCCACTAGAAACTTGGAATATTGATTTCATTTGCTAACTTAATGTTTAACAGTTTCCTCTTTGTTATGCTTCGTTTCGTCCGTTACATACATTACTCGGAACTGTAAGTCACCTTGAATCTACGTATGTATGTAATTTATAATTTTCTGCTCCGATAGTATTCTCACGCTCTTGACACGCGATGATCAAGTGACGCGTTACAAAGCCAGCCGGCGCTCCTTCCTTCACTAGCACTCGATCAAATTCTATCGCGATAAATATTGTTCCATCGATAGATAAAATCTTGAAAAACGAGAGCTAGGAGGAGATGTGTTTGATCTTGTTGAGAACGAGTGTCTACCAACAAGACTATCGATATCTTTCAATCTAACGCAGCTTCTAATGCTCGTAGCCATAGCGATACGTAAAAAATGTACGATATCTATCGGTCGCTTATACGAACATTAATTTAGACGTGTTAAGTACCATCGTTAGTTAGTACTTGACTAGCTACAACCCAATAAGCGTAAATATTTATAAAACGAAATTGTGTCTCACTTATTTTTGCAAACGATACAACAGCAGGCACAACTGTCGCTGCATCGATTAACAGCGAATTCATCAATTCTAATCTGATAAAATTCCGTTGTCTATACTCTGCCGACACTCCCACTCTCAACTACCTGTTCACGAATATCGGGATACTTCGATGCTCGCAATTGCAAGCGAATAGGTTCACTGTACGCGCGATTTTTTTCTCCCAATAGCAGTTGTAACGAAAGAAAATCAGCAAATGAACAGGACGGCGCGGGAAGAGGCGTGAAGTCTCAGTGAACTCGATCGGACACGCTTTCTGTTTTTACTTCGTCTTTAGAACGGGCGGTTACGGTCCTCGCTCGAATAATAAATACAACGACTTTCCATTTTCAACATAAACGATGATCCGTCGTTTGTATAAAGTAATTGTTGGTGGACCCTTGCGAACAGTTGGTCCTTTAGAAAGAAAAAGAACGAAAAGAGTAGGAAATATTTTGCTCGAATACCTGCGGCTACACTGTTATTGGTAAAGCAAAGGGCTTCTTCATTCCTACAGTACAAATTTTCCAGTCGAATCGATTTAAAAGCTACACGCCTAGGATACGACCTGATCGTATTAGATAAATACATGCGAATCGTGAATCGGAGCATATTCGAAACGACTGCGATAAATATGATGCGCAGGTAAACAAGATACACATGCCCTCCGTCCTTTGTTTGAAGATAGTTTGTAGGTAGTCGCGTTATCCGTTACTCACGCGAGAGCACACTTTTGTTAGTACGGTGTATCAGCTGAGGTGAATGCGCAGTGGCCCGTCCCGCTGTCTCTCTCTTCCCCTTTCGCTTTGATTTCCTTTCACCTTTGTCTGTCAACATTTGTCCACTCGCAAATCGTGTTACATATATACCATTGTCTATAGCTGTACATACGCATACCAGATACGTGGTAGTGTATAAAGATCGAAGAAACGCATCCCGCGTAACTGAAAACTAAAAGTTTGTTCGATTGTTTCCTTCATCGGAACGGATGAAACTGTTTTTTCGGTATTGCAATGGAAATCACATGCTCTGGATAAAATGTATTTTATTTACCGCTTGTGGACGCGCTTACGATGCAGTAATGAAGTATAACCTATGGTGACGACAGAGTTGTGGTCGTTACGATTGCGTAAATCTCCGAATAGGAACTGTATCGTTCGCGTGTACTTTTTTTTTTTATCGAAACAGGCTTCCGAATAAATGGCGTTTTTAAACGTCTCCTTTACGCTAGTTATGAAACAGCCTGTACTCGTTTTGACGTTGTCAAGTTACTATTTTGTTGGTGAAGTAGGTACATGTGCGAGCGCGTGAGAGAGAGAAAGAGAGCGAGAAGGGAGTACGCACAAAAGTACAAGAACAGAAGGAAGTAGGAGATAAAGAAACGGTTACGAAGCGGCGAATGCGAGAGGGAGTTGAGCAAAAGAAAATGTAGCGAGCGGCTTGGCGCGGCGTGGTGGCACGGTGGGGCAGCTCAAGCGGTGTGGTAAGAACGCGGGTGTCGGCGGCGGTGGAGTTGCGGTGTGGTGCTGGCAACGAAGGCATATACGCGTGCACGACGCGAACAGGAACGCGCGCGCGAACTAAACAACGCGAGAGAGGGAGATAGGAGAGGACCGGTGACTACCGGTAGAGACCGAGGAGAGTGGCAGAGGAGCACGGAGAATCAAGTTGGCAGGGACAGTGGTGAGAGAAGCGGTCGGTGGCAGTTCGAGTCTGTCGTCGGACCGGAAAACGCGCGGCTAAAACCGAATCGCTGGTTCAACGTTGCTCGTCGTTACCTTTTACCCTGTTCGTGTTTGTCACGGGCTGCCATCGAATCGATTCGCGCGATCGGGACACGTTGGTTGGCCACGTTCCTCAACATGGGTTAAATGGTGCTTTCTAAAACGATAATCCGTTTATGTCTCGCGCGTAATTTCTGTAAAACAGTGTTTCCAAGTGACAAAGACAAGTGAAACGATCCGCAGGTGCCAATTAACCGACACTGTGTTTACATTCGATATTGTTCGATTGTGCTCGAAAAAGAGAGAAAGGATGATACGCGAAAGTCGTTCCGTACGAACCGAATGAACCGTGCGCGTCGACGTCGACGTCGAAGACGAGGACGACGGGGATAGACTTTCGTTGACGATAGTGCGGCGAACCGCGGAAAATGCGGCAACTACGTGACCGACCGAGCTAAGATCACCGATACCAGGCAAGATCGACCTCGATCCCGAAACGTGCCCCGTCGTCGCTGTAGTTCCGAAGAGCTTGTGCAATCGGTGGACGGAAAATATCAGGGAATTATTTTTATCGTTGTTGGTTAATCGCGTAACAGCGACCGAAAACTTTGGATAGTAGACGGTCGATCGGACACCTCCGCGAGAAGGTACGCACGGCTGAGTCCACGAGAAACCGTTAATCGCAGGCTTGGATCGGATCGAGCTAAGTGGGACAAAGTGCAATAATCCGACTTAAAGAAGGAGGTATATTCCTACTGCCCGCTCGCTCGCCTTCTCGAAACCATTCTGCACTGAATCATTCCGCAGTGGCCAACTGCAGGATCTGAAATTGCGATCGAAGATCCTTGAAACTACTTCCGAGTCAGGCTAGGAAGCGTTTCCATAATAACATAGTATTATGTAGAAAAGCTGTAATGAAAACGATGTACCTTGTAACGTACCAAATAAATCGGAAATAGAACGACTGTCTGTTCGAAGAATTTAACGGAGATAAGTCTCGCGAGGAGAACGATGAAACGATCGTTATCGAATCTATTTTCGAAAGAAGGTAGTATCTTTCCTCGTATGCCGTTACCGCTAACGATAAGAAGAAACGACGGAAATTGACGTCGATCGAGGCGATCTTGCGAAATACTTGGCCAGAAGCGATCGTGCGACCATTTTCGCTTTTGGAATACGAAATACGGAATACGAGAAGTCGTTGGTCGCGCTGCGCGCAACAAGTTAAGGGAAGCACGTGACTGTTATATAGTAGTAGCTACTAAAGCAAACATTCGAGCAGGAGCATAGATAACGTTGGCTGCCGTCGACCGTGAAACTCCAGGCGACGCGACGCGCAGACGTTATCCAAAACCTTGTTCGTATCATTCTCTTTGTCAGTTATTAAAAATACTCGCTGGTCGAGTTTGAAGAAAGCGTTGAAGTTCGTCATCGGGGTCCCAGTTACGAGTTACGAAAATCAAAAAGAGTGAGAGAAACAGAGAGAGGTGTAATTTGGACGAGCAATTTCGTCACCGAACGTCTGGTTGGTGGACGTGAGCGCGTGTTGCGTTGCGCGTACATCCTGGCTCGAGAGTCGAGAAACGCGAAACGATGTAACGAACTGTTGGTGAATTCTAGTGTATGCGATCGATCCATTTCTCAGGAGGGTGCGCAAACCTTTGAATGACTTTCCCATTTTGTGGGTTCGTTTTCAACTCGTCCGACGTGAGGACGAGACAAATGCCTGTCGCGTCGGAAGACTGGGTGCCGCACCCGGCTAACATAACCAGTTCTATTACCACCGTCAAAGGTGCTACTATTCAAAGCACGACTACAGCTTGGATGTCGCCGTATAGCCGAGCATCACCTTCCGAACGTCCATCTTCGAACAACAACAATAACAATCATCACAACCACCACCACCATCATCACCACCATCACCACCACCATCATCATCACAACAACAACAACAACAATAATCATAACAATAACAATGGCGTTGTTATACTCGAAGGCTGCAGGCCGCCCGCTGCCACCACGGCCAGAAGATTTCTCAGGTGGTTTAGCAGACTCGGACAACCACCGATGGGAAAGTCAGGTAAATCTGAGACTCTGATTTGATTTTTCGTTGAACAGTATCGCACAAACGAACGATACAAAGAGTAATTTCAAAAACAGGCCTCACCCGACAATTTACGAACTTACATATCTCGTAACTACGATAGGTATACACGTATGGTATGTAAGTCGCGTTGGCGCGCCAGATAGAACGAAAAGAAGATTAACGCTTCTGCAGAATAACCTACGCGAACATAATCTCGCCGTATTATAGTTAACCATGGCATGGTACTGTTAGTCATCGCAGGTGTTCCGTACATATGGCGGTGACGGTGACCATTAATAAAAAGACCCGGCTCGCAAGGCGACGCGTGTGCACACTTGTTGCCGTAATAGATAATTGAATAGATGCCGTACACGTGCAATTAATACCAAACTATGCCCGGTAACGGTGTTATCCTACGATTCGTAATCTTTCGATGCGCGAAATAACACAAGGTTTCACGATTATCGCCCGCTATAGTATATTTTGAAAACGCCTGTCATCGTTCTTTGCGAACCAGAGAAAAGAAATTTGTTCCCTCGGTAATTATTATCGTTGTTCTGTACGAAGAGTGGGAAAAAACAGGTACATATTGCAATCTTTAGATACTTTGAATGGACTGTACGTTGCAATGCGTATTCGTCTCTTTTTAATTTTATTTGCAACTAATATCAGAGAACACGCGAACGAGGTGGATACCTGCGCCTGTGCTTTTGTTTCCGCTGGTAAAATCTCTACGGCGATCAGTGTCAAGTTCCTGGTATTTAACGATGCGTCGAGTATTCGGTGCACCGTACGCGGGCTACCGTGACGAACGCGAAATCGTATTAACGGATCTTCCATTGTATACACAATTCTTCAATAAGCTATACCATTTCTACGTGATTTTCACGTATATAGTACCTAAGCACGGAAGGAAATTGCAGCGCACGAATTCATCGACTTTCCAAATTAGGTATCGAGGATGCAGTCTTCTTTGAAAATTGACTCGAATATTCGTTTATAACGAATTATTACAAAAAATGGACTCGTATCGTTTCGTAACCGGTTGATGCGAAACCACAAAGAATCGAAAACGATTCGAATTAGAACGAAGCGGTCTTTGACTTATCTAGCTCGAGTGAATTCTGCGTTAATCGATGTTAATCGAAACGTTCTATACATTTTCATAGGTACCTACTCGCTATAACTCACGCGACATGCGTTAACATTTCATGGAACGAGTACTCGTTTAACATTGCTCAAACCGATGCGACGTACATTCCTTTAACAAAAGAAGATTATTCTTGAGATTGGAAGTCCGCGCGGCAAACGTTGCGGGGCGACACGATAACTAGGCCGGAAAGAGGACGAACCGTAAACTTGATAAATAAACATTAGACTTGGTGTGCAAACCAGGTCGCGATCGCTGCTAGCACCGGCGTCTCTCGGAATTCGTAATTGTAACTGCTTACTCGGTTCCATTCTCCCTCCCCTCTATTCATAATTATGATACATACATACATCCTATCGGCGAGTGTACTTTTGTAACATTTCGCACTCGAGACTGCTGCTTCTTTAACGTTCGGAACCGTACAATAAGTAACAGTTCACTCCTCGGAACTGAGAAAGAAAAAAATTAAGTTTCGCGTTAACAGCTACGATTCTTGCCTTTTGTTTTATTTTTCCCGCACATTTCGGCCGCGTTACCGCGATAACCCGTTATGTATTTCGTATTCATATCCCGCGAGGAGAGTTTGAATCGGGAGTAACGCGTTACGACCAACCACGATGTTCCCTCGTAACAATATCGTGCCATTATTTGGGCTTCTAATTAGTCTAACGAACAAAATAAACAACTCACACAAGGTTACCATTTATGATTGTCAACGCTTAGATCGTTCCGTTCTGCCTAAGCCTGAATGATACATGGATTTTGTTTCGGGCCTTTCGTGCTATGCGATTGGTACAGTGAAAAAAGAATAACGTGAAATCGACTTGAAGTAAACACGCTGGCTTGCAACCCGATAAGGTAGAAATCGACTCCGTCCGTTGCGTGAGAAGCTTTTCAACAGCGTCACGTTTGCAGCGTTGTGTAATTGTTCACTAGCTTACACGTGGGCGAGGTTATACAGTATAATTCTAGAAATTGAGATCCGACACTACGCTTTTTTTTTACTGCTCCGAAATGGAAAATAACGGTCAAGGAAAATCTTTATGCTTAACGAGAGGTTGACGCGTGACTCTCTTGCGTCTTACACTTCGCGAGATTATGTCGTTTTGAATGATGTATAATATATATGATACTCTCCTCGTGTTTCAATGTTCCAGCATGTATTTCAACTTCTTTCTATTCAGCTTCTAATTTTCAGTCATATACACTACCGATTCTTTTTTGCAAATAAATTCCATTAATTCTGGTTCAATCGATCCACCATTTTTTTCGCCATTGCTCGTCGGGTTTACGTGTTTCGGTATATATACATGTTTGTAATATTAACGTTGAACGAAACGATTTTGTCGTTTAAGCAGAATGCCTCTTTGTGCCCGGAGAGCATTGTCACGCGATTCGCTATCAGATGCGGGGTCACTGGCCTGTAATCTTCCGAGGAGGTTTTCTACAGGTGTTCGAGCGGGAACGCGCGTCGAGCGTGTCACCTGCTTGAAGTTCTGTTTTCTAAGCAACTACAGGCAGACGCTCGTGTCGTTTCCACGAACAGTATGAACCGTATAATCGATGACCCCGATTCACGACTCGGCAAACATAATAAAGAAGAAAAAATGCCAAGTGTATTTCTGTTTCCCGTTTCTGTTGATACCAGAACATAAATACTTGCTACGATCAACGATACAACGATAATTGAAGAGGCGTTCTTCCAGCGGCGTTGCCGTTTACTTTCTATTAGACGATATCCAAGGTTTCAAAAGAGAAGAGGAAAATACGTTTGGGTTGAATTATATCGCGCGCGCGCGCTATCGTTTATATCGAATAAGAATTGTGTTTTGCACTGAATTGGCGGCTTCGATGCTGCTGCGTTTCAAAATCATACAGAAGCTAGGAGCTGAGGCGTCAGAAAGCGAAAGCGCGATTATTTTTCAAGGCACGCACGCGCGTAACGGTCTTTCGAAATTCTTCGCGAGAGCATCAAACACGAAATTAAAATTCCTCGAGTCGATCAACATCGGGAGTCTCGTATTCTCGAAAGCATAAGTTTCGCGTTCAATGCAAAGGTTATCGTCCGCCACGTTAAAGATATTTTCAACGAATGGTTATTGTTATAAAAGTGTTTGAAAATTGTTGCTTCGGTTGAAGCTTTTACGTGAGCTACGATTCACCGTCTGAAAAGCAACCGATAAACAGTAATTACAGAAATTTACGGCGCGTGCTATTTTCTTTCTATGTACATACGTCTACGTAGTCGCGTAATCATTTTTTATTGTTCGGTGGGAATTAAGAATCGACGACGCAACAGAGAAACAAAATGTGGTCTCGCAAGTGAGGTCAAGGATTGCTCGCAAACGGGGCTACTGTGTACATATTTACAACAAACCGTGGCAACTCGGTTCGTTTGTCTGCTGCGTGGATGATACGTGCGTGTAAATGCACCAGGCGATGCTGGTAGCATCGCGAACAAAGAGAGCATTGTGTCGGTGCGATGCGTGCAAGCGCCGCGAATCAACCAACGATTGCACCGTACACCTTCTCGTCCTTATTTTCGACCGTTGTACACGTTTCGTGTACCTGTACGTGAACGTAAAGTTGACTATGGCGGCCACCGTGATCGTCGACGCTTCGAACTCGGTAGAACAGCTTTCTTCCAATTTCCATATATCTTTCAAGCTGTTACAAAACGCGAGACCCGAAGCAACGGACAAACACTCAGCGAACGTTGCGAGCACACGAATTGTGTAATATCTCAGGATATCTACAACAAAATTAAAATACTCGTGGAAACGAGTAAATATATATATATATATATATGTATATATACCTATGCAGTATGCGCGTTAGCCGTGCATGCTGTACGTAACGGTAAAAAGCTCTCTGAAACCGAGGAACCAAGGAAATGGCTTGGCATTCGTGTACGATGCCGCAGTAAACCTAGCAGTCCCAGCACAGTGGTGACATGCTCGAGAAACTGTATTAAAAGAATGTCAATTCCTGACTGGGATCGAATCACGCGAGAATACAACTCCCTACTTTCCTGAGTTCGTCAGTCTAGCAAAATTAGCAGGTCAATCGATAAACCAGCGAAGTAAACGTAGTTTCCTATAGAGAGAAAATTAAAGCAACCTGAATCGGCGTATACACCTAGATATTCTCGAGTTACATAACGTCGTTGCGAGCAATCATCGTTTCCTGAAATGATTTACATAATCCGATCTTTATTTAACCGTTTTGGGAGCAATAAACACAGATGAAGTGAAAAATCTCGGATAGGGGATCACCGAAGCGTAGAATCATCCTGTTTAACTCGTGAGCAGTTCACGATGCAAATCAAAGAAAAACATTAAAGTCTAGAGAAGCATCGAAAGAGTTCGTTGTGCTTTTAGCTTTCTCCTTATTTCTGTTTGGTCGAAGCTAACGACGCGGAACTCGAAGGCCATTCTTGTTCTACATATTTCGTAACAAGTCTTAAATTCTGTTGCCAGTAAACGGCAATCGACTGTATCGCTTATCGTTGTTCCTTTCGCTTTTCTCATAGTCTCTCCTCTCCAACCCCCGAGGTCGGTGCCTTTCGTTTGCGAACCCCGTCCCATTATTGATCAATCTTGCAAATTCAATTATTCCTCTTGTCCTGTTATTGGATCCCAAAAAATTCTTCTCTTTGGGTATGTTACAGTTACATGTATTATAATATGCTGACGAGAGATTTCGAAATCGGTGAATGGTTACACGCGCCATAAAAATGTTCGCGAATAAATGTCGCGCGCATAAATTCTAACCCTTGGGAAACCGCTTTCTTCGAGATTCTCGTAAGTCACAAGCTGCTGTTGTGAGAGAAAAAGAAATCGAC